CTGTGGCATGATCATAGCTCACTGCAACTTCAAGCTCCTAGGCTCAAGCAATCCTACGGACCCAGTGTTCCAAACAGGGAAGACTACAAGCATGTGTCACCACTCCTAATTTTTTTTTTTTTTTTTGGTAGAGACAAAGTCTTGCTATGTTGTTCAGGCTGACAATCCTTTCACTTTGGCCTTTGAAAGTGCTGGGATTACAGAAGTGAGGCAGCACGGCTGACCAATAATAATTTTTTAAAAAAATAGAGACATTAAAAAAAAATAGAGACACACCTATAATCTCAACGCTATGGGAGGCTGAAGCAGAAGGATCACTTGAGGCCAGGAATTCTAGACCAGCCTGGCAACACAGCAAGAGCCTGTCTCTACAAAAAATATAAAAAATTAGCCTAGCATGGTGGTGCATGCCCATTGTCCCAACTACTTAGGAGGGTAAGCTGAGAGGATCACTTGAGCCCCAGAGGTTGAGGCTGCAGTGAGCTGTGATTGCACCACTGCACTCCAACCTGACACCTTGTGTAAAAAAAAAAAAAAAAAAAAAAAAGATGCAGTCACTGTGGGAGTTTATCACTTCCTGAAAAGCCAGACAGAATTCCCATATAACCCAGCAATTACACTCCCAGGTAAACAGGCAACATAATTATAAACAGGTGTAGTAACCATAGAACCAGTTCAATCTGGTTCAACTTTTTTTTTTTTTGAGATGGAGTTTCGTTATTGTTGCCCAGGCTGGAGTGCAATGGCACAGTCTTGGCTCACTGCAACCTCCGGCTCCCGGGTTCAAGCGATTTGTCTCCCTCAGCCTTCCTAGTAGCTGGGATTACAGGCACCTGCCACCATGCCTGGCTAATTTTTTTGTATTTTTAGTAGAGACAGGGTTTCACCATGTTGGCCAGGTTGGTCTTCAACTCCTGACCTCAGGCGATCCACCTGCCTCAGCCTCCCGAAGTGCTGGGATTTCAGGCGTGAGCCACCTCGCACAGCCTGTTTCAGCTTTTATCAGTAACAAAATGATAAGTTGGTTTTCAGTTACAATAGATCCCCAGGTAGTAAGTCATGTAACCTGAGCATGCTCAGATGAACCAAGTGTGCCTGATCGCTGACCCTGGTGTTGGTGAGAACACAAAAGGCAACCACAGGCAGGACTTAAGCACTCAAATGGAGGAATGGACACCAAATTAGGAAGCAAGGGGCACCCTGTTTTGCTGCAGTATGAACTTAAAAGCCAAAGATCCAGCATTGCCTCTTTGCATGACCCAAACAGATCATGCCTTGTTGTATTTTCCCATGTCCCTCATAATTGCTTTCTGCCTATAAAACCTGTCCCCAGATCCATCTTGGGAAGACAAATTTGAGTGTTGCCTCTGGTTTCCCTGCTGGTCAATCTTACAATGAAGCCTTTTCTCAAAAACTCATGACATAGTATTGGCTTCTATGTGTGTCTAGCAGTAAGTCCATTGCTTGGTAACACGATGGGCTCAAATATTTATAAGCCAATGTTCACTGCAACATTATTCAAAATAGCAAAAAAGCAGAAAACACCCAAGTGTCCATCAATAGATGAACGAACAAACAAAATGTGGTATATACATACGATGAAATATTATCCAGCCATGAAAAGAAATGAAGCTCTGGTCAGGCATGGTGGCTCACCCCTGTAATCCTAGCACTTTGGGAGGTTGAGGTGGGCAGATCACTTGAGGTCGGCAGATCACTTGAGGTCAGGAGTTCAAGACCAGCCTGGCCAACATGATGAAACCCCGTCTCTACTAAAAATACAAAAAATTAGCTGGGCGTAGTGGCAGGCGCCTGTAATCCCAGCTACTTGGGAGGCTGAGGCAGGAGAACTGCTTGTACCTGGAAGACGGAGGTTGCAATGAGCCAATATGGTGCCACTGTACTCCAGCCTGGGCAACAAGAGTGAAACACCGACTCAAACAAAAAAAGAAAAAGAAAAAAAATTAGCCAGGAGTGGTAAAGCATGCCTGTAGTCCCAGCTACTTAGGAGGCTAAGGCATGAGAATCACTTGAACCCAGGAGGTGGAGGGTGCAGTGAGCTGAGATCGTGCCACTGCACTCCAACCTGAATCCGAGCAAGATCCTGTTTCAAAAGAATGAAAAGGAAAGAATTTAAGTTCTGACCCATGCTACAACATGGGTAAACCTTGACAACATCATGCTAAATGAAATAAGGCAGACACGAAAGGACAAATACAGTATGATTCCACTCACATAATGTAACTGAGTAGTCAAAGTTATAGAGATAGCATAATAGAGGTTACCAAAGGAGAGGGGAAGGACAGGAGAAGAGGGGGAAATAGGAAGTTACTGCTTAACGGTTACAGAGTTTCTGTTTCGGGTGATGAAAACGTTTTGGAAATAGAGTGGTGATGGTTGTATAATATTGTGAATGCAATTAATCCCACTAAATTATACACTTAAAAATGGTTAAAATGGCATTTTAAATAATAATAATAAAGACAGCATCTTGCTCCCTGGCCCATGCTGGAGTACAGTGGCACAATCATAGCTCACTGCAGCCTTGATCTCTCAGGCTCAAGAGATCCTCCTGCCTCAGCCTCCCAATTAGCTGAGACTACAGGTGAGTGCCACTATACCCAGCTAATTTTCTTTTTTTTAATTTTTTAAAGACGATTTCACCATATTGGTCAGGCTGGTCTCAAACTCCTGACCTCAGGTGATCCGCCTGCCTCAGCCTCCCAAAGTGCTAGGATTACAGGCGTGAGCCACTGAGTCTGGCTTACCCAGCTAATTTTCTTGATTTTTCATAGAGATGAGATCTTGTCCTGTTGCCCAGGCTGATCTGGAACTCCTGAGCTCAAGCGATCCTCCCGCCTCCACCTCCCAAAGTGCTGGGATTACAGGTGTGAGCCACTGGAGCCAACTGCAAATTTTTAATACATACATTTTCACCATAATTTATTTTTAAAAAAGGAAAAAGAATACTGAAGTTTGTTCCTTGATCTCTTCACCTTCTTCCAGTCTCTAAATCCTGTTGCATACATTAGCCTAACTTTGTTCTCTAATAAGCACTTATACTTCCACCTTTAAAAAACAATGAAAAAAACACCTCTTTGCTTTTTCCCTTTCATAATTGCTCTAAGTCTATATCATACCCGCCTGTGGGTGGCATTGCCTTGGTCTGAATACTGGCCCAGATTGAGATATTTGTGTCCTACATGGAACTATTGTGCTTGATGGATTGCCATCCCTTGTCACTCCAATATCTGCTGTTCTACCACATTTCAAGACAGTCTGGAACAGTGTTTCCCTAATGTCAGTCATTTGGATGCCACCTTCCTATATATACAGTATCTATAACAGTTAACATTTTCTTTAAACAGAACCATTTATTAGAAAACCTTTTTTAACGTAAAGAAAATCAGTACTACTTGCCACAAACAACAAAGATAAAACTGTCCAAAATCATGAATACAAAGCAGTTTAAGGTCTAGCTTTATATACTATTACTGCCCACTGAAAGCTTTGAGCCTAAGGTCTGATCTCTCTCTGTCAAAAAAGGAAAGAAGAAAAAGTGAAGTTAAAGACATGATATGAAATGAGGTTTTCGCCTGGCTGTAATGAAGGGTGAAGAAGTGCAAAGGACTTTCTCAATGTGTTATTGAATCTAATTTGCCATATTTAATTAATTCTAAGATAATTTTTCCCGATTTTTTTTCTTTCTTTTTTTTTTTTTTTTTTTGATACTGATTCTCACTTTGTCACCCAGGCTGGAATGCAGTGGCACGATCTCGGCTCAAACTCTGCCTCCCGGGTTCAAGCGATTCTCCTGCCTCAGCCGCCCGAGTAGCTGGGATGACAGGCGTCCACCACCACGCCTGGCTTTTTAAAACTTTTGGTTGAGACAAGGTTTCGCCCTGTTGGCCAGGCTGTTCTCGAACTTCTGACCTCAAGTGATCTGCCCGCTTTGGCCTCCCAAAGTGCTGGGATTACAAGCGTCAGCCACTGCGCCCGGCCTTTCCCCAAATTCTCTTTAAAATAGGAGCATCTTACAATCAACAGGTTGTGACAGGTTAATTAGCTGCCCTTTATTTTTGATAGGTGGCTCTGGAGTCAGGAGAACCCGGGCAAGACCTCAGCACTGCCTACTGTCATTTCTAGACTGGGTATAGGAACACCTATCTCACAGGTTGTTACACGATAGTGCCGGTGAAGCGCTTGTCACAAAGCCTGACACAGGGCAAGCTCAAAAATGGGAGATTCTGTAATCAAATTGTTTATTTTTGTACGCTGATAAGTTTCACATCAACCCAACTATCTCTTGATAGGTTCCTACTAGGCGCTAGAGATATCTTACTTATCGAAATTACTTAGGATCGTAGAAGCCGCCGGAAGTCCACAGACTCAATCTTATCTCTCCAGTGGACCGGCCCTGGCTTCTGCAATTGCGCGGTCGGCGCCTTGACACCGGGCGCCGCTCTGTGACGTCACCAATCTGTCCACTGCGGGAGAGGAGGGCCTTCTTCTCCAGGGGAGGGCTACGTGTTGACGCCATACGCCGGGGCGGGGCCGAGAGTTTGGAGCCCCGGAGTGGGGTGTCGGCGCCTCATTCGGGTGGAGCTGAGCTGCAGACAGGTAACCATGCGCTGTCGCCGCGCCCTGCTCAATGCCGGGAGGCGCGGTGCTTGGTGGCCCGGGGTTGGAGATCGCGGTAAAGGGCGAGGCCGCCGCGCCCTTGCTTCTGCGGGCGCCGCGGTGACAGGGGAGTGGAGCTGGATGGAGTGGGGCTGCGGAGGGTAGTGGGAGGGACGGAACCTGATGGACGGCCGTGGCAGTCAATGGTGCCGCGGGTCCCGCCCGGCGGGCGGAGATTGGCGGGTAGGGGCGCGCTCCGAGGTCGCGCGGGGCGCGGAGCGACGCTCCATTGGCGGTGGGCGAGCGGGGGGCGGGCGCGGCGGCGGATGTGAGGGAGAGGGCGGTGCGTCCGCAAGGGTGACCCCAAGGTCGCCGCGGGTGTCACGTGGGTAGGCTGCTCTTCGGCGGCGTCCTTCCCGACCGGGACGCACTCTCCTTCCCGCCTGTGAGGACCGCGTCGCTTTGTCCGAAAGACAGTGTGGCCTGCTCGAGTCGCGTCGGAGCGTCTAGCCACCGGGTGGCCGGGGGTGGGACTGCCTGTTTGGATTACTGGGAAGACCTTGGCGTCCTCCCCACACCTGCTCCCCAAAGTTGGGTCGAGCAGATTGACCGAGATGGAGCGTATTTCCCGTAGAAACACCGTTTTGCCTCGAAAATGTATTAGACGTGAATATGAATTGTAATCTACTGAGATTTAATGGAAAACTTGCAGTGCCTTCGCCCCGACCAGGGTGCGTCCCACCTGCCGTCCCTTTGAACAGAGGACTCCGTGTTAGGGTTTCTTTGTGCCTTGTCTTGCAGTCCGTACTTTGAGGCTGATTTCCAGGTACACTGCTCTGAACAGCTGGCTTTAGCATGGGTAGCATGGGATAAAGCCTTTTATTGTAAGGCATTACTAGTTGCGACAGTCAAACCTTACTTGCCATGTAGACCTGCCTGAAAGGAGAGTATATAACACTGTTGTAGTTTTGTAATTTAGCTGAAGACTAGATCTTGGAAAGTTGAATAAAGATCAGCATTGGATCTTGGAAAGTTGAATAAAGATCAGCGTATGTTCATTTTTTGTTGTTTTGTTTGAGATTGAGTCTCCATTTGTCGCCAAGGCTGGAGTGCTGTGGGGCTATCTCGGCTCACTGCAACCTCTGCTGGGTTCAAGTGATTCTGCCTCAGCCACCAGAGTAGCTGGGATTACAGGCACCACCACCCCCCACCCCACCCACCCCGGCTAATTTTTGTATTTTTAGTAGAGACGGGGTTTAACCATGTTGACCGGGCTATTCTCAAACTCGTGATCCGCCTGTCTCTGCCTCCCAAAGTGCTGGGATTACAGGCGTGAGCCACCGAGCCCGGCCCCTCATTTATTTTTAAGTGCACTTTTCACATTTCAATTACTCTTTCCCTTTAAATAACAGCTTTATTGAGATATGATTCACATATTATACAATTCACCCATTTGACGTGTACAATTTCATCCAGTCATGATGGCTTACGTTTGTAATCCCAGCGCTTTGGAAGGGTGTGGAAGGAGGATCCCTTGAGCTCAGGAGTTCAAGGAGACCAGCTTGAGCAACCAAAGTGAGACCCTGCGTCTACAAAAAAATAAAATTCTCTGGGTATGATGGCTTATACTACATATACCTGTAGTCCCAACTATTCAGGAGGCTGAGGTGAGAGGATTGCCTGAGCCAGGGGAAGTTCAGGCTGCAGTGAGCCACTGTTGCACCTCTGCACTCCAGCCTGGGTGACACAGTGAGACACTGCCTCCAAAAAAAAAAAGGGCCAGGCGCGATAGCTCATGCCTGTAATCCCAGCACATTGGGAGGCTGAGGCAGGTCGATCACCTGAGGTTAGGAGTTTGAGACCAGCCTGGCCAACATGGTAGAAACCTGTACCAGCTACTTGGGAGGCTGAGGAGGGAGAAGCTCTTGAACCCAGGAGGTGGAGGTTGCAATGAGCAGAGATCATGCCACTACACTCCAGCCTGGGTGACAGCGAGACTCCGCCTCAAAAAAAGGAAAAAAATACAGTATCATCTACTTTTTAGATTTTTAAGTAATTTTTATTTTGAGATCATTGTCCAAATTATTGAGAAATTCGTTTGGAGAATTGTAAAATTTTAAGAAATTATACATAACATTTTATTCTATGCAGTCATAAATAGTACAGCGATCCTGTGTTCCATTACCCACTTCTCTAACCTTGTGCAAAACTGTAGTAAATATCACAACCAGATGTTGACATTAATAAAACTCAAGATACAAAATATTTCCATTATCACAAAGATCCTTTCTGTTGCTTTTATAAGAAAAGCCACACCCACATTCCTCCCACCCCCAATCCCTGAACTCCTGGCAGCCACGAATCTGTTCTCCATTTCCCTAATTTTGGCAAGTCAAGAATGCCAAATACAGGAAATCATGCCAAATAGAAGGAGCCTTTTGGCATTTTCCACTCAGCTTACTTTTCCGGAGAATCATCCAGGTTGTTGTGTATATCAGTATTTGATTCCTTGGCCTGGTACTCATGCCTGTAATCCCAGTGCTATGGGAGGCTGAGGTGGGCAGAGTGGTTGAGCCCAGGAGTTTGAGACCAGTCTGAGGAACATAGTGAGACCTTGTCTCTACCAAAAAAAAACTTAGTCAGGTGCAGTGGTGAGTTGCTGTAATCCCAGCTACTCAGGAAGCTGAGGTGGGAGGATCATTTGAGCCTGGGCTGTGGAGGCTGCCGAGATCGCGCCACTGCACTCCAGCCTGAGTGATAGAGTAAGAACGGGTCTCAAAAAGAAAAAGTACTTTATTCCTTCTTATTGAATCCGGGATTACAGGCGTGAGCCACTGCGCCCGGCCTCATGTACAGGTTTTTATGTGAACATAAATTGACATTTCTCGGGCCGGGCACGGTGGCTCATGCCTGTAATCCCGGCACTTTGGGAGGCCGAGGCGGGTGGATCACGAGGTCAAGAGATCGAGATCATCCTGGTCAACATGGTGAAACCCCGTCTCTACTAAAGATACAAAAAATTAGCATGCCTGTAATCCCAGCTACTCGGGAGGCTGAGGCAGGAGAATTGCCTGAACCCAGGAGGCGGAGGTTGCGGGGAGCCGAGATTGCACTCCAGCCTGGGTAACAAGAGCGAAACTCCGTCTCAAAAAAAAATTGACATTCCTCCAAGATAAATGCCCAGGAATACAATCACTAAGTCGTAGCACATGCTTAGTTATTAAACAAATAGCCAAACTGTTTTCTAGAGTGACTGTACTAATAGATGTGTAGTAATGTCTCTTTGTGGTTGTAATTTGCATCTTTCTGATGGCTAATGATGTTGAACATCTTTTCAGGTGCTTATTTGCCATCTGTCTGTTCTCTTTTTTTTTTGATAGAGATGGGATCTTGCTATGTTGCCCAGGCTGGTCTGGAACTCCTGGGATCAAGTGATCCTCCTGTCTTGGCCTCCCAAAGTGCTAGGATTACAGGCATGAGCCACCAGGCCCCTGTATTCTCTTGGGTGAAATGTCTGTTTATATCTTTTGTCTATTTTCTAATTAGATTGTTCGGTTTTTGTTAACTGTTGAGTTCTGAGAATTCCCAATGTATTCTAGATACCAGTGATTTGTTGGAGATACGTAGTTTGCAGATATTTTCTCCTAGAGACAGAGTTTCCCACTGTCACCCAGGCTGAAATGCAGTGGATCTCGGCTCACTGCAACCTTGTCTCCTGGCTCAGGCAATTCTGCTTCAGCTTCCAGAGCAGCTGGGATTACAGGCATGTGCCACCACACCCAGATATTTTTTGTATTCTTAGTAGAGATGGGGTTTTTGACATGTTGGCTAGGCTGGTCTCAAACTCCTGACATCAGGAGATCCGCCCACCTCTGCCTCCCAAAGTGCTAGGATTACAGGCATGAGCCACTTCTCCCCGCCCTTTTCATCATAACAAGTTTTTTGTAGCCCCAAAGTTTATAATTTTGATCAGATCTGGTTTACCAATTTTGTCTTTTATTAGATTGCTTTTGGTGTCACGTCTAAGAACTATTTGCCTAGTCCAAATTTCTGAAGATTTTATCCTATGTACTTTTCTACATTTTTTTTTTTTTTTTTTTTTTTTGAGACATGATCTTATTATCACCCCAGGCTGGAATGCAGCGGCACGATCACAGCTAACCCCAGTCTCAGCCTCCTGGGTTCAGGTGATCCTCACAGTAGCGAAGGCTACAGATGCCTGTACCCTGCCTGGCTAATTTTTGTATTTTTTATAGAGACGGGTTTTGCCATGTTGCACAGAGTGGTTTCAAACTCCTGGGGTCAAGCAGTCCTCCCACCTTGGCTTCCCAAAGTGTTAGGTGAGCCACTTCGCCCAGGAATTTCTCTAAAATTTTTAAGTTTTACATTTAAATCTATGATTTATTTGGAGTTAATTCCTGTATGTGCTATGAAATTTGAGTGTTTTTTGTTTTTTGTGGGGATATCTAACCAACACCGTTTGGTTGCAGGACTGTTTTTCCTCCATTGAATTGCTTTTGCACTTTTGTCAAAAATCACTTGGCTGTACTTGTGTGACTGTTTCTGAGTTCTCTGTTACACTGCACTGATGTTTGTGTCTATCCCATCACCAATGCCCAGAGTTTTTATTATTGTAGCTCATAAGAAGCCTCAAAATCAGATAGATTGATTTCTCCCACTTCTTTTTCAAAATTGTTTTAGCTAATCTAGTTCTTTTGCCTTTCTTTATTATATTTATTTATTATTTTGGGGACAGGGTCTTCCTCTGTCACCCAGGCTAGAGTACCATTGCATGATCACAGCTCACTGCAGCCTCTACCTCCCAGGTTCAAGCAATACTCCCACCTCAGCCTCCTGAGTAGCTGGGACTACAGGCACATGCCACCATACCTGGCTATTTGTTTTGTTTTGTTTTTGTTTTTTGAGATAGAGCCTCACTCTGTCACCCAGGCTGGAATGCAGTGTTGTGATCTTGACTCATTGCAACCTCCACCTCCCAGATTCACATCATTTTCCCACCTCAGCCTCCTGAGTAACTGCAACTACAGGTGCCCACCACCACACCTGGCTAATTTTTAAAAATTTTTAATAGAGATAGAGTTTCACCATGTTGGCCAGGCTGGTCTCGAACTCCTGACCTCAAGTGATCTGTCCGCATCAGCTTCCCAAAGTGCTGGGATAACAGGGGTGAGCCACTGGGCCAGGCCACCTGGCTATGTTTTTGTTTTTTGTTTTTGTTTGTTTTGAGACAGAGTTTTGCTCTTGTTGCCCAGGCTGGAGTGCAATGGCACAATCTCGGCTCAGCACAACCTCCGCCTCCTGGGTTCAAGCAATTTTCCTGCCTTAGCCTCCTGAGTAGCTGGAATTACAGGCGTGCGCCACCGTGCCCAGCTAATTTTGTACTTTTAGTAGAAATGGGGTTTCTCCATATTGGTCAGGCTGGTGTTGAGCTCCTGACCTCAGGTGATCCGCCCATCTTGGCCTCCAAAAGTGCTGGGTGTGCCCGGCCCTGTCTATGTTTTTAAAATTTTAATTTTGTAGAGATAGGGTCTTGCTATGTTCCCCAGGCTGGTCTCAAACTCCTAGGCACAAGTGATTTTTTTCACTTCAGCCTCCCAAAGTGCTGGGATTACAGGCCTTTTTTCTTGTATATAATGCACCGTTTCTGTCTCTGGCTGCCTTCAAGATTTTTTCTTTGTATTCAGTTTTCAAAATTTGTTTATGATGTGTCTTGTGCATTTATTTGAGTTCATGCTGTATGGGGTTCTCTCTCAGCTGCGTAAATCTGTAAATTTATGCCTTTTGCCAAATTTGGGAGATTTGTAG